TCTTTCCTTTGCAGCATCTACGAAAATCCTGAACTTTATTTTTACTGCAAAATGGAAGTGTGTGCAACTTTAAGAATCAAGAATTTTATCGACATAATGATTAAAAATATCTCTTAAATTCAAAGAAGCACGTGCGCTATAGTGCAACATTTGAGGTATCCTGTTACTATGGAGACAAATCTTTTAAGTGTTTATTACACAGTGTGTAATTTCTGATTCTTACTTTGTACACTATATATAGTAGTTTATATAGTAATTAAGCAAAAGTTGCATTTGTAGTTGTAAAGTTGAAAGTTTGTTGACGTTTAAGGGCAAAACTATCAAAATAAAATGACGTAGTCATCGGTCCAGCCATTACTGGATGTTTTATGGTACATTATTATGCGTGATACTGGCTGTGATATTAAATATTATTTTCACATATGCCCCAGCATCAAAAGCCTCCTTCTTCCCGCTGGCAGGAGTGTAGCTTAAACCAGCTGTGGTAGAGAAGAAATGTTCTTCCAGCACAGCAGCGTTATGCCTAAACCCTTCATTCAAGGGATAAGAGTGTTATCGGCTCTGCAAAGTAGAAATATCAGAAGTTAAAGTCCTTTCTCTATCTTTTATTGCTTTGAGTCAGTATGGCAATAATTCAGGAATTTTATGAGGCATGCTTTTCTTCTTATAGTACGATGGATGATGTTTGGCTTTGTGCACAGGAAATCAGACCCAAATTCTAGTTCTTTCATCCAAACTTCTGAAGGTAGTGATGGAGTGCTTAGGATGTGGATTCCCTCCTCCTCTTGCACCAAATGCTCTAAATACTTCAACTGCAGGTTCCTCTGTATTAGTAACGTCTCTGCCAAGCAAAAAGTAGCACGCTTCAGCTCTCATGCTCTCATTCCTGTCCAGACGAACTGCATGTTTAGGATTGTTTTATACTGCAGCATAAATGAGTGTCATACAGCAGTTTAACCACTGGATGCTCGGGTCCAGGTGGGTATAAGCCGATGAATAAATGTTACGGCTTTCAACACCTCCTGCTAAACAGGAAGCCAGCACCTGTAGTATTACATCAAGTTCGAATGCAGATAAGATGTGACGAGTGATAACCTCGTCAGTAGATTATCCAGTGTTTACTAAGCATTGAGCGAATGCATCTGTTCTGATAACCTCGTCAATTTTTAAAGCTGTCACAGTTCATGGCAAATACTCTGTTTACCTACAGTGGTGAGACTTGAACTTGTGTAATGGTCTGAAGGAGCTCCCGGAGTTGAATATGAGCCCCAAACTATTAGCTTTAGGGCCTCATTCCCGATAACACTAATCTCAAGATCTTTGGGTTTTGAACCAGTGGTTGTACACAACAGGGAACTTGAAATGAAAGTAAATGTGGTAAAATTGTTTTTGTTTTTTAAACCGTTATAACACCAGTCAATAGATATACATTACTTCAGCTCTATACTGTTTGCCGTTGGCAAAGCAGCTTAAGAAAATTAATTCTAGCAGCCTTTCTAAACACAATTTCACAAAATACATATAAATATAAGTGTGTGAATGTGTGTTTGAATGGGTGGATGACTGAATGTAGTGTAAAGTGCTTTGGGGTCCATAGGGACTAAGTAAAGCGCTATACAAATACAGGCCATTTACTATTTACCAAATACCATTTCTTAAAGTGGGAAAAGCATCTAACTTGCATGTGTGTAAAGGTTTTGATGGTCATAAACACATCTACAAGAGCCATTTCAGGATGGGATTAGAAAATAGGCTTTGGGACAGTTATAGTGAGGCATATTTCTGTTATACTGCACACCTGGCTAAACCTGGCACACATGCACGATGAAACTAAGCACGTGTTATTATTTCATTTTCAAAAATAAAACAATACACAACACAGTCACAAATAACCGAAATGGAAACTTTGTGTTTAGACATTTTTCTTTTAAAATCATACTTGTCAATAATAGAAGACCACTAACTTACAAAATAATGTTGGAGGATCTCAAATGAACTTTTATGGATCCTTTTATGTTACCTCACTTCAACAGGCCGAAATGAAAAGGAGATCTTTTCAATCATTGTGCAGCACTTGCCACTGCAGGCCTCACACTCGGAGCTCTTACCGAAGTTTCCAGCAGTAGCAGCGTGAGTTTCTGCAGCGTGCCTGAGCAGGAGGTTTCTCTGTGATGGTGTTAAAGTCTCGCTGGAGTATGAATTTGAAGTTGCGCTGTTTTCCATGCTTCTGACTTCATCCGTGGCCACCGAGTCATCCAGTGCTGGAGTTGCCGTATTCGTGCTGTTGTTACTGGGGGTCCCAGCCCGGAGGGGCCCCGGCAGACCCAGATGGAGGACCAGAAGAGACAAACCGAGGACGTGATTCAAAAACCACGTTTCCATGATTTTTTCAAGACCCCCCAAAACGGTCGCCGATAGTTTCCGTGAAGTCGAGTGAATGTCGGAGAGTCTCCCGGGGACACCATGGGAGGAGCGCTTCGGCGTTTAGTGAAGTTTTAATGGGAAATGAATAAATCCTGGTAAAGGTCCGGAGGAGATCCGCAGCTCAGACGGCGGGGAGCGGAAGATAACAGAGCCGAGGCAGCAGCCTGTTATCTCAGCCCGGGCTCCGCCTCCTCCCCGCACGCACACACACACACACACACACACACACACACACACACACACACACACTGAGAGTCCCGTTACTGAGCCCAGTAGCGCCTGTGTTGTCTGCAGGTGTCGGAAGCTTTGCCCATAAATACTTTCCTTTTCAAGCCACAGAAGACGTGAAGTTTTTAAGAGCTGTTAGTTACTCACATCGCCGAATAATCCCTCTACTCTGAGTGTTACGGTAGCCTATCATTACCTGCTGATAATAACCTGTAATCACAGGCTATAGTTGTAAAAATCACTTCTGTTGTTATATAGAGTCTTAACCACAAAGACACCCATCTCTCTCTCTATTTTTTAAAATATTATTTTATTGTTTATTAGTTCGTATCTTGCGATTTATTTCCCCACGGAACTTTTCTTTTCATCATTCAAAACCCTCATATGTTGGCTTTCCAGTTGGGAGTGAAGTAAAAAGGGTTTTTTCCCTTTTCTGTTAGTGCAATCACGTCACAGCAGGTTTTTAAAAAGTGATAAAATCACGTGGAATTCTCTCAGTAGGTCAGTCCATCTGCTGCAAGAATCCTTGGTCTTCATGTTTACTGCTTAGTTACTCTTATGTGACTCAGACTGTATGTTTGTAGTCATTGTCAAGCTGTAGAATGAGCTTGTATATACATATCCACAGCACATTCCACTTTTCCAGACATTAAATATTTCTATTTTAGGTAGAGCCAGACTGAACTACCAGGCAGACGTTCATGTGCTCTGGTTGGGATCAGAGGAACATCTGGGGGAATTGGAGTTTGTTTTATGGGTAGAATAACAGATAACTCTTTAGGTGACAAACATTATTTATAGCACATTTTATTCCAAGGGAAACTGTAATTAATATGTACTATTCTGCAGTTCATTTGTTCTTTTTTTAGGCTATTAAGCAACAAAAAAAAGAGAGAAACATGCATAAATTTGTCTTGACACATAACTGATTGTAAACATAATCAGCCTCTCAAACCAGTGCTGTGCAACACACATTGTTGGAACTTTTGCTTCAGTGACTTTGGTGGTTGGTGCAAACAAAGCAAGCAAACAAATGAAAGATTGTAATTTAATGCACTTTCACCAAACCACAATATTATTATTATTTTTTTTAATCTTCTGCAGACATTTTGCTCTAATCTCATTCCTGCATGACACAAAGCCCAAACATCCTGTAGGTCCAAAAGTGAGTAGAGTTTAGTCCTGTCTCCATCGTGTATTTAATTCCCACTGCTCACATTTCAAGCCATTGTGCATCAACTGAAAGTCACTAACTTTTCCAACCGGACAGGGTTTCTTCTTAGTCACTGCAAAGGCACAAAGCACACCAACCCTTCTACAGCTCAGCCCAGTGATAAGAAAATAAGTAATCAGTAGGTTTACAGGCTTGTGTGCCTGCTGGCGGGCCATTGCTTTCACAGAAACAGGATAAGAGGAAGTGGTTTTCACAGCTTTGCTCAAACACTGACTCTTGAACTTTGTGATACTTCCAGATCACACTTGTAACTGAAAAAAAACACACCCCAAAAACATTTAGCATGCATTTAATTCACACCATATAGTGTCTTCAAAGGTTTTTGTTTTTCTTTCTTTTTTTAACCAGGAGAGCTGTTAAAGTGCTTTACACACATGGGAAAAAAACCCCTCATTATTTGATACTTTCAGATATGCTATGAACACATTATACAGACTTGAAATTCAAGTATTTTTAGTCCCATTGTCACAGGTGTATAACACCAAGCACCTATCCATGCAGTCTACCTTTAAAAACATTTTTTTCAAAAAAAAACTAATTGTAAAGAGCTCTCTGAATTTGAGTATGGTAGCGTAATAGATATCACTATCACAACAAGTACTTTGTAAAATGTCTCAATATTATTATTGCAAAGCAAAAGCATTTAGGAGCTAAAACAATTCAGGCACATAGTGGTAGACCATGCAAGGTAAGAGCAGGGTTACTGCGTTCTGAGGTGTGAAGGGCATGAAAGTCGCCGACGCCTTACAGACTCAGTGACTGCAGAGCTCCAAACTTCTTCTGGCATTAACATCAGCACAAAAACTGTGCACCGAGAGCTTCGTGGCATGGGTTACTAAGGCCGATCAAGATCCTGGCAGGAAGAGCATCCAGCGTAAAGCTGTCAAATCAAAACACGTGGAGCTAATCACTATGGCAATCCCTTATGAGAAGGGAGCAGCTGAAATTAGCTTTAGGTTTGATTGGAAATAGATCGGCATTTATAGAAGACTTTTGCAGTTTTACAGCCCACACAGCTCCTTGTTCTGTGTATGCAGCAAAATGATAGAGATATTCTATCAATGAGCTGTAGTGAGTGTAAAGTACTTTGCTGTGCTCTGCTGGGTTAGCAGCATCAGAGTTTGTGACAGCAACAGACTGAATAAAGTGATTGTGGATTATCAATCATCCTCACAAACCTCTGGACCACTAACTGGACAGGTTATTGGGGCAGAGATTAGCTTTTCATTATTGCTATTATTATTATTTCAACAGCTGTGACAAAAAAAAAGTCCCATATATAAGATAAAGTATTTGTCATCTATAAACTATACACTATGTTTTAAAAGTTTTGCATTTTAAAAGGCCATTTTACAGTAATGGAACGGCAAAAACAAACAAACAAAAAAAAAAACAGTTGAAAATGAAAGAGTTAAAGTTGAAGTTTATATTAAGAGGAAATAATAAATCTCTGCATTTGTCTGTTTGCATGAAAACCTGCACATTTTAGCTATCGCCTTTCTCTGATGTATCTTATTCTTCCACATAACCTTTGTGCAAAGCTTTGATTTCCTTGAACCACCACAGGAAAACAATTCGAGCCACTGAGATTCTTAACATGTGAGCAGTATTCTGCCCGTAGTGCAACATGAGACACCGTTTGAGGCAGAAAATGTGGTATTCAGGCTGTCAGCTGCGACGCATAACTGAGGCAGTGTTTAATTCGGTCAGTGAAATGGTGGTTGGACCATATTGTCGGCCCTGATGAACGACGATTGATGACAGCGGTGACGAGAGGCAAAGTCAGCATTTTCCTCCGTCAGCTGCTTGGTTTTCAGCCCCAGAGTCCCAGACAAAGATGGCGTCACTACGATCTCATCCCGGGGTGATGCTTTTCTACTGAAAGAGAAGAATACACAGAAAAATTAATTTCAGGCGTAACGATGTAGAAAATAATCAAAAACTGAAATCAACACCATTTACAGTTTAAAACTTATGAGGTTTTCGATTTCATTGCAATTTTATAATAAAAGCACTGTCGGATTATAGTTCAGCCATAGAAATAACTCTTAGCAAATTAAACTCACATATAAAACTCAAATTGGCTTCTTCATTATTTAATAGACATCAATGATGCAAGATTTTTCAGTGCATAAATAAAATCATAAATACCTGCAAATGCTACTCAGTGTTGATTTGAACCACGTGAAAAAGCTGAACTGAGCTGCAATTCCTGCAAATTAATCAAAATCCAGACCGTTACGTTTCTACCAGGAAGAAATACATAATTTTCTGCTGTAATAATTTTGCATTCAATGTTGCTAAAATTTTACACCTTTTTCTGCTGTGAGTATCTGAAGCTCTGCCACTACACAGGAGGTAGTAACTGCGCTGTGCCATTGGAAACATCTCCATTTGTGGAACAAATGTCTGACACTTGTTTGACGCTTGTGTTCAAAAATGTCGTGAGTCAGACGGCTGAGGCACGTACTGATGTGGTGAGTTTATTGCACAGATGCAGGGTGTCACATCCAGCTATTCAAGAAATCCTAAGCCACAACAGCTGCCAGGCAAAGAGGCTGCAAGTGAACCTCCCGACTATGCTACTGGGTCACGTAACGACATATGGTATGGTAACCAAATCTAAATCAGTAAATGTGAGATTGCAGTTTAGGAAGGATTTGGTTGCACATAATGAAATAAAAGTCAACGATCGAATGACACACAATCGCCCCAAAAATAATTAAATAAATACAGGATCAGCAAGTTCAGTTTTGTAACACATTACTTATAGATTGCTTTTACTTTAGATAAATGATGAATGGAAATTATTTCAGTGCTTCACTTCCTTTAAAGAGTGACATAAGTCTTTAAATAAGACTACAGCTTTAAAATATTTTTAAAAAATATTTCAAAGGCCTTATTAAACAACTCAAGATACAGGAAAAGTTATTTGGTTCCCTTTAAATCAGCTATTCTTACTATTCTTCCAGTATGTACACTGCTCAAAAAAAAAATTAAAGGAACACTTTTTAATCTGAGTATAGCATCAAGTCTGCTAAACGTCTGGGATATTGATCAGGTCAGTTAAGTAGCAGAGGGCGTTGTTAACCAGTTTCAGCTGCTTTGGTGTTAATGTAATTAAAAGGAGGAGCTCTAGAGGGGTTTTTTTTTCCACGTTTTGAATTTGTCACCACTGACAGCATGAGGTGATACCTGGAGAGATTGTCCAGTCCACTGTTTCCCAGCACAGTCTCAAGAGCATGAAGGAGATTTCAGAAGACAGGCAGTTACTATAGGAGAGCTGAACAGGGCTGTAAAAGATCCTTAACCAATCAGTAGGACGTATGTATTTTTTTGTGCAAGGAGGACCAAGATGAGCACTGCCAGAGCCCTACAAAATTACCTCCAGCAGGCCAGTATTGTGAATGTCTCTGACCAAACAATCAGAAAGAGACTTTATGAGGGTGGCCTAAGGGGTCGACATCATCTAGTTTACCCTGTGTTCAGTGTCTGGCACTCTGGAGACCAATTAGCAATTGCCATAGAATACCAGAATTGGCAGAACCACCAATCGAGCAAATTCTGCCTGAACACATGTGACAGACGTGAAAGACTCTGGAGAAGTTGGGGAGAACATTATGTTTGCCTGTAGCAAACATAATGTTAGCCTGAGGGGTTGGATGGTGGGTCAGTGATAGTCTAGGGAAGTATGTCCCTGGAGGAACACACAAATGTCTACACGCTAGCATTGTCACCCTAACTGCCATTAGGTATCAAGATTAAATCCTTTTTTCCCCACTTTGGTGTCTTTTGTTCTTTTTGTGCTTTGTTTTCCTCATATGACTCATTATGCTTGTATTCATGTTTATTTTTTAATAATACAATAATTTATAATTTTAGTCTATGAAGTGCTCAAAAAAGCACTTTAATCTCTGAAGTTTCAAGATGAAGTACAAATATTAAGTGGAGATGAATTTATCCTGAATCCACTTAGTTCTTCTAAAAAGAAAATAAACATGTGGAAATCACCTCTTGGTAGTCCAGGACTTGTTTTCCCGATGTAGAAGAAGAGCAGCAAGGCAAATATTATGTTTGTTAAGGCATAAACCCATTGAATAACAAACATAATCAATATGGAGCTCAATGCCTGAAAGAAAACAAAGGATATGTTCACATTATTCCAAAAATATCAAGAAAGCCATGAGAGCACAATTAAAATATTGTACAGCAAATGTCTGTCATACTCCAATGAGAGCGATCCAGCGGTTACACAACTTTGCATAGAAGGAATTGTGCTTGGGTTGGATTTCAAAGCTTTGGTGTTCTGCTTTATCTCCAGTGCCTGAAAGATTTAAGAAAGGGTCAAACAGGTAGGTAGCTTCTATGATACAGTATATACCTTAATCTATTCTAATGTTCGATAGGTAAATCTGATCACCTGTGCTGTAATTGTGAGTGTCAGCAGGCAAATCCTGCTCAACGTGACCAATATCTGTATAGCCCGTGATTTGAGGCTCCTCTCCAGCCTTGAGCTCTCCTCCTCCACCTGGCCCCTGGTCTTCCTCTGCTAGTGAAGCAGAACTTGTCCTCTCTTCTTTCTCTTCTGAGGAAACACTGGAGTTCGAGTCCAAACCAAAGCTGTCCATTAGCTTCTGCTTAGCAGTAGCCTTTCTGTTCTTGGATGTGTTGTTCATGTCTTGCATGCAGGAGGTCTTCTCAGCTCCAGAATCCACATTTGAAACAGGTGGAAATATCTGGTCCATGTCCCTAGTGAACTCCAGCAGAGTGCCCTTACTCTGCGGACTCCCGCCATCACTGCCATAGTTTGGAAGATTGGCTTGAATCAGTGACGTGCTGCGGTGCCTGGTGGACCTGCGCTGGTTTCTTTTGCCCACTATGGCGGTGTCCCTCTTATCTTTATTCTGAAGGTGGGAGGTCATGGCCACGCTGAAGTAGGAGTAGTCGACAAAGCTGTAGGTGAGCATGAAGTTGATGGTGACGATGGGCGCCAGTACGTTAACTTGGCCGATGAAAATGAAGGCCATCGTCACCAGGCTCGTCAGAAAGATAGCCGCCACCGGGGTCTTGTTTGGGCCTTTCTGTCAGGGAGAAAAGGTCACACGATATTAGCGATTCCTGTTACAATGTACCAAATGCACGTATTGTGTGCCTCTAACTCAACACATTTTGTGTGACAAAGAAAAATGTCTTATTCTTCCTGGGATTTTGTACATTTGCCACAGCTAACCCTTTGCCAAGTAAAATCGATGTTAGTTTTGAGCAAAGGGGGGAAAACACCAATCCAGAGGAACAGAGACACAATGAAAACGAACATAAAGCTGAATCTGAGTTAAATAAAACACCGATGAGTGATCTTTTCCTGCTGTTGTCCACTGAGTTTTCAAAAGTTCATGTTCAGTGTTTGATTTACCAACAAGTAACAATCAAATGATTACTTATTCATGTTGCTGACAAATGTAAGCTTTATAGCTTGAAAAATGTGGGTCGTATTGAGTAAATTAAAAAGAAATCCATTACACAAAATCTTCCTATGACTTCATCTGGACTTCTTCTGGCCAGTCTGACATGAGATAGCTGTGACGCCCATGAGAAAGCTATTTCGACTTTTAGAAAGGTTCTGGTGCTATTTTTCCATGAGTATGCCTACATTACATTTAATTAAATCAAACACACACTGCATAAATAAAGAATATGTTTGTGTTTACAACTTAAATAGTGTTCAGCATTCACAATTAAATGAATGGAATAAAACAATGCCCCCAACAATAATTGCTTTTCTCTAAATGGAAAAATGGCTTTAACATGTGGTTTGTTAACTAGTTTGCTTTTATTTCCCAGGTCCTATCTCACTGTTTAAGGAGCACTGCTGTGTGCTGGAGGGCCTCCAGAGCATACAGCGGAGCAGGGCCCTGCCCGTCTCCCTTCCTGCGTTTGTTCTGGGGCTTTGATTTGGGCCAAGATGTCTAGGGCCTCATTCCAGCCTGCTGAGAGAGGTCAGATACTGCTGCCATCCAGAGAAGTCTGAGGAAAACTGGGGTGGAAAAGGTCAGGTTGTTAACGTGACTATGTGTGCATGTGTTTTGCAGCAATGTGTCATAACTCTTTGATGCAATAAAGTCAGTCCACTCACTTCTGTGGAGTGCTTGCTCTATAATTAGGCAGACCTGTGACCGTGTCCTTCTGAATCCATACACCACAGCCCCCTTTAGAGCCAGACTTAGCACACTTATTCATTTACAATGTATGTGTGTGTTACTTTGGGCAATCAGAGAAACCAACTTCAATCCCAATTACTCTATACAACTTGTATTTGATTCACAGAATAATACAGTAAGCATGAAGTTACAGAGTACTGCAGTCAAAATGCAATATGTTATAGTTCAGTTCTAGGGGAATTTCACTGTGTCAAACTTATTCACAGTCATTTTGTGTCTACATGTGGTGTGAAGATATACAGAATGATGATGCCCTCATTTTAATTCAGTCTGCAGATATCTGTTTTAATCAACTAGCACCCTGAAATTAATCTTTGACTAGTTATGGTGACTTCAAGCTACTCTCAAGTTCATCCTCCCCCACGATATGCACACCGACACTGAAAACCAATCCTTAGACTCATAAATCATCCTTTAATAATGAGTCTTTTTGGTGAATCCTTTTTCATTCCAAGTAAGGCAAGCATCAGTTTTAGATGTCATAGTATTGGACGTTATTCTGCATGTAAGGGCTGATGAATACACCTCAGTAATTTCAATTGACATCAAAAACACTCTAGCTAATAGTTTTCAGTTCACACATTCCTCCCTTCATGGCTCTATCCACCCACCCCTCTTCCCAAAAAGGCCAGACAGGGAATGACCCTCTCCTGGGCGATGCACTGAAGGATCCTGGGTGCTCCATACAGGCCGCCCATGCAGGAAGCCAGGGAGGAGATGTAGAGGCCCAGCAGAAAGAGGAAACCCACCAAGGAGACCTGGAGGAAGAAGGAAAACAAACAGAGGGTGAAAAAGGATGGGGTGGGGATGAGAGCTCACAACAGCTACGCCCAATCCAGTTCCGCTACAGCCAGCCCCTTATAAAAACAATGAGAAATCACCACTGATGGGCAAGTCAAGGACTTGGTCAAGGCAACATCTAATGGTCATATTTCATTAAAATGTCTAACTCAGGTGCGATCATTTTATAATGAATTTGAGATTTTTACCATTTTTGCAGTAATGCTATGCTGAATGTTTGCTACACCAAGAGACAAATGGTCAGTTTATTTGTTTGGAGCTGGGCAACACTTTCTGAAGACAATTTATGCATTGATTTCTCATTCCCTGTCCTCAAAACAAAATACTGTATATGACCGATTTGTTAGAAGTGCACAGTGCACAAGGCATCAAAGGCCTATTAAAGCTGTATAGTGGAGGCTTTGGCGAAACACATGTTATTGCAACAGGGAAGGCAAGAGAAGACTTTGCTTTTTTTGGTCAGACAATGCCAAACCACCAACTGCACATGTGACGGTGGCATGGCTCTGTGGAAAAAGAGGTGCTAAACGGGGGGATCTGCATGCCCAACATATTCCTATCCTTAAAAACCTGAAATATTAAGCTGCACATTTTCTACATTAAGCAAAAATAAGACTAAATCTTTTAGCACTATAGCAAGTGGTCCTCCCAGTTCTGAAACACTTATGGTTGATAGACTAGACGACACATTGGTAATCCTCCCCCAACTTTTGAAAATTATTGCTGCCACCCCCCTCCCAAAAATCCCCACTTCTAAGTCTAAAATTTATAATTATTTCCACATTTGAATATAATATGAATATAATGTTGCTATGCAGTATTATATAGTCAGAACACAAACTAACCACACCACTAACATAGTGAGACACCATGGGAAGTCCCCTTACCTCTCCCCTTTTGTTGGAAGGCCCCCCCTCACAAAGCCGAATGGAAACACAGAGAGGAGTTTACCTTTTCAGCTATCAAGAAGTCACAGCGTAGAGCTTCTCTGGTGCAGATGGCCCCCAGGAGAAAGACAAAGACCAGATACAGGAACCACCTGTGGGTCACCAAAAGTACAGCGCAGAATTACTAACAACTATTGAGTCACAACAAGTGAATGTCTGATAGCGATGTGTTTTTAGAGTGGGTTACTTTTGTTTTCCAGTGAATGGAAAAGAAAAACCCACTCAGTGTACCGAGAAAACCACAAGAGTAAAATCTAAACTTATAGGATTAAACCTTTCTGAAAGATCAATCCACCGAATCTATCAAAGGTTTTTCCTGTACTTCCTATTTCTTAATGTACAATCACTGTAGTCATAGTTAATCTAGTTTAAGTATTGCATACTGTGGTGTGTAAATTTTTCCATTGTTTTTGTATGTAAGTATACAGTGCCATTAAAGAGTATTTCTCACCCCTTCCTGAGTTGTTGCTTTTTCACATTTATCAAATCTCAGTGTTTCAGATCATCAAACAAGTTTTAATATTAGAAAAAGATAATCAAAGTAAATACAAATTGCAGTTTTTAAATGATGATTTTATTTATTAAGAAGAAAAAGCAAGCCAAACCTACCTGGCTGTGTGTGCAAAAATAATTGTCCCCCCTCTTAAATCAAGAATTACCTGTGTTTAACCACATTTTTTGGAAAGTTGAGATCAAATTCAATAGGCAAAATGAATTAGATTAAAAGATCTCAAAAAGCAGCACATCATGCCACGAGCTAAAGAAACTCAAGAACAAATGAGAAACGAAGTCGGCGACATCTGTTCATCCAGAAAGAGTTTCAAAGTCATTTTCTAAGACTGTCTGTGGTTCTCCGGTGAACCACAGAGAGAGCCGTTATCCACAACTGCAGAAAACTGAGAACAGTGGTGCATCTTCCCAGAAGAGGCGGACCTACTACAATTACTCTGAGATCTCATCAACGACTCATCCAGGTGGTCATAAAACAACCCAGAACAACATCTAAAAAACTTCAGGCCTCACTCGCCTAGTCATGGTCAGTGTTTATGATTCAACAATAAGAACACCACTGCTGGCCAAATAGAACACAAAGGCTTGTCTCACATTTGCCAAAAATCATGATCTCCAAGACTTTGGAGAAATTTTTCTGTGGAGTGATGAAAACAAAAGTATAATATTTTGAGTCACCTTTCCCATGAACAACAGCCAAAACAGCCAAACACGGTGGTGGTAGTGTGATGGTTTGGGGCTGCTTTGTTGTTTCAGGACCTCGATGACTTCTGTAGTTCATCACTCCATGAATTGTGCTCTCTACCAGAAAATCCTGAAGGAGAATGTCCGGCCATCAGTTCGTGCACTAAAGCGCACAAACACTTGTGTTAGGCAGCAGGACAATGATCCAAACAATGATCCAAAACACACCAGCAAGTCCACCTTCTTAATGTCTCACAAGACAAAAATGAAAGTTGTGGAGAGGTCTACCCAAAGTTCTGACTTATATCCAATTGAAATGCTTTGACATAACCTTATACAATCCATTTGTACCCCAAAAACCCTCCAATGTTGTTGAATCACAGCAGTTCTGCCAGTTATCACAAATGCTTGATTGCAGTTATTGCAACTAAGGATGACACAACCAACTACTGGGTTTATTGGGAAATTACTTTTTCACACAGGGCAGGATTGAACTGCATGTATATTTACTCGGGTTATTTTTGCCTAATGTTAAACTTTGTTTGATGATCTGAAACATTTAAATGTGAATTTGATAGATATGGAAAAAACAAGGACTTGTGCAGAGGGTAAATACTGTTTGACAGCACTGTATAGATATGTGTATGTTTTAGTGGATTTGGGGGGTTGTCGTACGAGGTGAAGACAGCTGCTAGTGTTCCCACGGGGATGTTGTGCTCAGGTCGCTGAAGGTCTGAGCTCATGTTGAAGCCTGCCATAACCCCTACAACACACACAAAGATGGGCAAACCACAAAATGTACACAAGGTGCTTGTCAACGCAAACTTCATTTTTACATTGCATATGAAGCAAAGAATGATAAGCAGGATTTGAATGTTTGCATGCTTTTCCTATTCTGGGATTTTCTTTTTGTGTGAAATACAGAAATCTAAAAGAAGTTGTTGAGGATCTACTCACCTGTAGCAGCAGGGAAGAAAACCCCAAATACAGTAAAGAAGTTTTCCCCAGTGGTATAATCTGGCATAGTGTTGCTACTGAGCAGCCCAGCTGAATAGCCAATGAAACCGTGCTCTGAAAGTGGAGACAAACTCACATAAAGCACATCAATACAGAAAGGCATGTAAGAATTACCAGGATTTCTTCACTGAGTAAACAGTTGTGAACATTAAATGATGATGAAGGAGGAAGAAACTATGCAAACTCCATTAGCTAGAGGTATGAAAATTAGTTTCAGGTCTTTCTTTAGACATGAAAAGTCAGCTCTCTGTTAGGCTTTTACTTATGTATCAATATTTTAGGCAACAAACACACAATCCCAGGCTGTAAATGACTCATAACAAGAATACTTAACTTTCTATCTTATGTAACATTCATCTGTTTGAAATCAGTTCATGAAGGGACACATAGCAGCTCCACCTGGAATAATGATGGTTATTTCTCTAGTGCATAAGGGAATAAACTGGTTTAAGAATAAAGAAGAAGAAACATTTGCTTCTTTAACATGTTTAAGGAACAATTATAATAATGAGTTTCTATTTCTCACTTCCTATTAATACAACCCAACAAATGTTGCAGTCTAGTCCAATCTTAAAATGTTTGTAGCTGCTACATAGGGCCAGCAGTTACCTTATGATTTTAAAACACATCACTCTCACAAATTGATTAATAATGTGTTCTTAGATTAATAAGCAGTCACAATATTTGGCCTTTTCCTGACTTTTTAAGCTACGCTTTGTGCAGAAAATTAGATCGACTGCATAAGAAATCACAGCATACAGAAAGGAAAAACATAGAGCACTATATACCAGGTGTTTGAACAGTACAGCATTACATTTGCATAGTCATTAGAGCTCTCCATAACTCAACAGCATCTGCATCATAGTCAGCAATATAACACCAAGTAAATAAATGCTGCAAAGTCTATTTCAGTCAAAATAAATGGCAACAACAACCGGTGACACCTTTCAAATCTACAGACTAAAGGCATGCCGGGATGGCTCTAGGTCAGGTCAGTTTGCTGAATGTGTGAAGGCGGCCATTTAAACTACGCAGTCTGAAGGACCTGCCTATGTTACAAAACCGGACATTTCCCTCTTGGTTATCTTGTGATGGGAAAGAATGTGTTCTCTCAGATTAATGACATGTTTATCCAAAAGGAAGTTACCACCCTTTTCAGAAGCTCAGCAGCTTCCAAGTTTGGGAGAAAGAATGAAAGTGAGCAAGAGAGGGAGACAGAGAGCGGGAGGAAAGAGCGAGAAAGGGAGAGACACATAGAGAGAGAGAGAGAGAAAAGAATGCTCATTTTTTCCCTTTTGTTTTACAAAAGGCCAAAAGAAAAGGCCTGGATACACTCTCTGTTCCAGCTTTGTATGATCTCTAGCATATGCGTTTAATGAGGTCAAAAAAGCTCAAAAAAACTCCTGTTCACTTTGTGACCCACTAGGATCGCCCTCTATCCAAACAATCATGATCTAACAAACCCAGGGCAGCCAGTGTCAAGCTGCATCAAGAGCACCCCACCCATATTACAACATCATAGTCCAACATCCAAGTGGGCTCAACTCTGCCAGCTCTCACGGCTAAGCCCTCCAAGTACTTATTTTGGAGCATTCACATATTCATTACACTTTAATATAAAATCCTTATATGTACTACATTCACTGCAAATTGTCCCCCTCATTTTCTCTAGGTATAATAACAATGATAGGCTGGCAAAGATTTGTGTTGGGTCCTGTTGCAAACTACACCTCATTTTAAAAACTACAGCATCATAAGACTTCACACAAGATCCAGAGACCCCGTTTAAGCCATTGTGTATTACTTTGGTTGCATTGGCAGTGTGTTTGAGATCATTGCCAAGTTGAAAAATGAAGTTGCCAAGCAGAAGCTTTACACAAGGTGGATTAAAAATCTGATGGTACTTTTCTGCATTCGTTAATTATGTATCTACAAGATCCTCAACACCACTACCTGAAATAAAGACCCAAACTATGACAGAGCCTCCTCTGTGTTTTACAGATGGCTGTAGACACTCACTGTTGTTCATCTCTCCTGACCTCCTCTAAACATGCCCATAATGATTTCAACCAAAGATTTCACATTAGGATTCAGGTTTCACACATAAATCCAGTTCATAATTTAGCCTTTCTTCCCCATTTCTTTTCCTTTAAAAAAATGACTTCTTGACAGCTGCCCTTCCACTGAAACCATTTCCTACAAGGTCCATGTTAAATCATTCTTCTGAAAATGGTCAGATACAAGGACTGGAGTAAATATGAGTGAAAAAGCAATGAAATGTCTGAAGAACAACTCTAAAAGTCCTTTAGAAAACCTGGAGAACTATTTTTCAAGACCATCCACCTATTTATCCATAAGAGGTGACTCAAGACTTTTGCATAGTATTGTAAAAGTAATATTAAAATGTGTATGAAGGAAACTTTGACCATAGATGTCCACAATATATAATATTATACCCCGGAGCTTTCCCAGTTTCCAAATAAGTAAAGTCATCTAATTACCATAATTAACTGACAATTGCTTGCTTTATGTGGGGCCTTCTTTATGAAGTTTGCAGCGTGCAAGCAACCATTATTACCCCTAATATTTATTCATCAAAGAATCCAATATATAATACTGAATCAGAAGGTAACTCCCACTAGGCTGATGATCCTTTTTAATACACAGCTAGAAGACTTGTCCTGACACGTCTTCAATTTGATCCATAGCATTTTGTAGAGATGTAGAGCTTTATAAGCCTATTTACTATGTTTCCAGCTCGAGCTAAGGCAAGAATGTCTTCATTCCAGTTTACTTATTCTGTATCGAGCAAGTTTACAGGCAGAGTGGGGCTCATTTCTGAGTTGACCATGCCTCTGAATGTGTAGTTAGATTACATGAACATCTGAGGCCTCTCCCTCAGTCTGAATGACCTCTTACACTCCCACACTAACTTACATAAATTGCCGTGCATGTTGCATAGGCTGTGAGTTTACAGAGGTGGAGCAGGTCCTGCTGGGATGATCGAGAACTATATATTATAGTAAGAATCACAGGGAGAGATGATGTGGTGGTCTCTGGAGTAGCAGCAGGCTTCAGATCTCAGTTCCGGCTCTCTCTCTTTGTCATTTTCCAAAAATGTGGGTGAGTCTGGTTAACACCCTAAACCCCAGACCCAAGGAGCACATTATGGCTTCCTTTTCTGTGGGGAATAGACTTCAAGTATAAGGACAGGGTGAGGCGTGTCGTTGCGTAATTCAACGATGCACCACAATCAGAAGGGTTTGTGGTTAAACTGTTTGGTTGCAGAGACAATACATGGGCGGCATTACTGTCAGAATAATTTACTGTGCTTACAGACTTGTGAACTATTCAGGACTGTGTTACATGCTGCAGTTATGCAACACTTTAATTTTAACTCCAACTCTTACAGTGCTGCAAAAAGGACTTGCTGCAATCCACTTCTTTGACATTTTAGTGAATGGGAAAACCAGGTTTGTAAGTCAAGAGTTCATATACATAGATACTTAAATAGATAGAAACACTCCTAAATTCATCTTAATGATTACTAACAATTAACATGGGATGGTCAAAGCCAGCACCCGATATCTGTGATTTTTGTTGCTAGGGATAAAAGTTAGTGAAACATTACAGGGGCAAAACATTAGAATTAAAACCAACTCTGATAATTTTCTGCTGATTGACAATCTGTGAACTCTAAACTTTGCCTTTCTGATCATGACAGAGGTGGAAAATACTGATTGCAGTGTTTACAAAGGCAATATCTGCCAAACATATTAGCAATCATGTCCATAGAAAGCGAAATTTTGATGGAATATGTGGTTAACCAGACATGCCTAAGCTGTGATAGAGCTACACAATGGTGTGTGAAAATTGGGGACATGTTATCAAACTATGACCACATGCTTTTGGCGGTGGCTCCTTTCCTCCAGGATGTGTCTCAGTGTTCAGTGAGTTCATGTTAATCTGGGCCGTTTCAGCTAGCATGGAGACCTGCTGGTCCTCTGCCAACCATTAGGTCACCAAAACACACACAGAGCTGCTCTTAATTGGAAAAATCTGGAGTGGTCATTATGGCTGGTTGTACAGATCTTAAGGGCTGAAAACTGGTCTCTACCAAGTGTGCTTTAAACAAGACTGGGAGTTGGGAGGTGTAGAGCAGTAGGCAGTCTGGTTTTAATTTCACCTGAAGTAGTCGAGCTAAATCCAACAAAAACTAACAAGACAGGTAAGGTAGTCTCTCTGTTTTTTAAAAAAAAAAGTATGAATGTTTTATCATGTGTGTGAGAACTCTTGGGTCTTGTGTGAAATGTGTTGTTCAAAGACTGATTTGACTCCTGGAACACTTTTTTCTTCCTACTCGGCAGGAAGTTGATAATCAGTGAGAACAGGAAATGTAGGGAAGGACTTCCTGGAGGTCAACAAAAAAATACCCCCTCCACCGCACCCAAAAAAAAATACTCACAATAATAATAAAATTTAAAAAAATAAAATAATTTTCAAACTTAAAATCTCAAAATACAACATAACAATACACATTAACTAATCGCTAAAGTGTGAAAGAAATAAACATGTTAATGGACAGAGGAATGTCTGTAAAATAAGTAAAATAAGTGATACTGCAGCTACACCTACTGACTAAAACAGGTCACAACAGGTTCCCACACTCCTTCCATCACACTGCCTCTTTGGAAGCCCCCCCCCACCCGAAAATTTAATAGTGAGTTAAGGAGAATGAGATATAACAAAAACAAATACAGCATAATAAAGTATTGGTATTTATAACTGGAAACACTAGTGTTCCCTGCAACATGAGCCAGGCTTCTCTTTATATTCTACTAGAGATCTGATACTCAAACACTCAAAGAGTCAAAGGCAGCTTCAGCTCTAGATGTTTTGTGTACTAATGCTTTTTAAATCTTTCAAGCCTGAATCATCACGTAATTGCCAGAAGATTCTGAATTTATTGAGCTATTTAACAAATTTCTTTAAAAATAATTAATTAAATTTTAATTTCCACATATGACTTTTAGTCTGCATCGTATTTCCTGCATCTGGCAATTTTTCAAATTGCTTAAAAATGTATTGTGCAATTTATTTAGCTGTTTTTCAGGGTGGGGGAAAAATGACACTGATGATGTATGAGTCTCAAAAACTCCCAAAAAATTGTATGTATCAAATATTATACAGTAGGTGTTTATTAACAGCAAACAATACTTAAAAGCCATTCTTACAGAAATGAAGAGTCAAATTAAAGACTCTACTACAACTACTTCTGACCAGCAGCCATCCTAGCCTCCTAATTTTCACACAAATCTTCCTTATGCATGAAAAAAATGTAACTATAACTGTGACTGTCTCTCTCGTCTTTGATACAGTAACCGATTGTTGATTTTTTTGTTTCTCGTTTTCATCGTGATCATAGTGACGGTTGTTACCTGGGTCAAGGTGTGTGAATGTGCCAATGACAAAGTCCAGGGTAGAGATGGCCAGAACAGCCAGGAGGAGCAGCTGAAGTCTGACAATCCACTTGACACCAGCCAAGTTGATTCCAAGCAGACCTAGCAGCACTGCTGCTGACATGCAGCGCACCGCCCACTGAGTCTGAAGACCCAGCAGTTCTGCCACTGACTCGGAGAACCCCGTGATGTACATCGCCCCAGCGACGCACTGCAGAGTGGTAGAGAGCATTAATAGTGACACGAGATAGAAGGAAGGAAATTCAGTTTGTGCATTCCATGATTTTCTTAAGGGATAAAATATTACAAACAAACAATTTTAGCGGTGTTCAAATTCACTCACCTGCCCAAACACATAAAGGAGGCCAACAGTGCCCCCGACCCTTCCCCCTAGGATGGTAGAGATCATGGAGTAGATTCCTCCACTCCCAACACCACAGTGTTCAGACACTCCGATTCCTGACATAACTGTCACTAAAGCAACCAACACAACCATGGAGACGAGAACCATCCCAAGCAGCACTCCTGTGTTCCCCTGGATAATGTTAGGAAACAGCAAAGATCCAAAGTACAGAGTGATCACTGCACAAACTACACCACAATATGCATCTGCAGTTGTGAACTGGATATATTTTGGGCCAATATACCACCTGTATTGTACACATCTTCTGCACATGACATCCTGCTCTGTTTAGTGCTTTGTCTTCAGTTCATTTAAATAATCCTATCTTCACCATTCTCTCGCATTTTTTTAATCACTCCTCTTTTCTCCTCCTTGTATTTGTTTACAATTTTCTATCTAATAGAAAAAAAGAGACATGCAGATGCTATACAGGTGTGGTGGACCAGCACTTTTTTTTTTTTTTATTTGCTCAGACATTTCTGATAAGATGCGTCTCTCTCTGAAAGAGAAACCCTGTTTTCCACACAGCAAACTATATTTTAGCTGTCAAGCTAAGGCCAAACGGATGTAGCAATTACAATCACTGGGTCTCTTTGTAGCTGTGTCCTGTGATGACACATGGCTATTACAGTGTTCTGGATCAATTGTCATGATGACACATACTTAAGTATATGTGAAGCTAAAAACTGTGCTAAAAAATGTGGATGAGCTGAAAGCAGAAAGCCAAACATGAAGCTAAGCCATTATGAAGTATAAAAATGAAAACATACAAAATAAAATTTGGTGATTAGTGATTTCTTTTTGATTCTTTAGTCTGCTACTACAGTGCTGTGAAAAGTATTTACCCTCTTCCTAGATGTCTGTGTTTTGCATATTTGTCACACTTAAATGTTTCACATAATCAGATAAATTGTAATAATAGACAGTGGTAACTGGAGCATTATGGCATAATCTTTGGCATAATCTAAAGAAACTCAAGAACGGATGAGAAACCAAGTCACTGACATCTGTAAGTCTTATGGAGTGAATTTGGGACTCCAGTGGAACCACGGTCAAAGCAATTATCCACAAAGACAGATAATTTGGATATTTGGATCAGTGGTATACCATGTCAGGAGGGGCCAGCTGACCACAATTAGTCTAAGAGAGCATCGATGACTCATCCAGGAGGTCACAAAAGAACCCAGAACAACATTTAAAGAACTGCCTCACTTGCCTCTGTTAAGGTCAATAAGTAAAAAACTGGGCAAAAAAATGGCATCCATGAAGAGTTCCAACCACAGCCGAGCAATAAAACCACAAAGGCTCGTCTCATGTTTGCCAGAAAAAATCTTGATGGAAAAATATTCTGCGGACTGATAAGACAAAAGCAGAACTCTTTGGAAGGCTTGAGTCCTGTTACATCTGATGTCAAACTAACACAGCATTTCATAAAAACAACCTCATACCAACAGTCAAACATAGTGGTGGTAGTGTGATTCATGCTTTAGCATGTCCGGTCATGCTTAAAAACATTCAGGGCAGCTGAATTAAAACAATTCTGCAAAGAAGGCTGAGACAACAATTCCTCCGTAGTGATGCCAAAGACTTATTGCCAGTTATCACAAATGCTTGATTGCAGTTCTTACTACTAAGGATGGCACTACCAGTTATTAGGTTCAGGGGAAATTACTTTATCACAAAGGGCCATGAGAAAAAAAACCCCCTTAAGAACTGCATTTATTTTCACTCAGGTATTTTGTCTGAGCTGAAATATTTAAACATGACAAATACGCAAAAATAAGAAATCAAGAAGTGAAAAATCCTTTTCCACTGCAGTGTATCCACCATGCACGGTTATTAGACTCATATTTAAAGCCCCATTATGGCAGTTGCATTTAACAGAATTCAGCCTTTTAGCATCTTATTAGCGTGGGGAGAGTTTAAAGTGGATTAGCTGTTCTATTACCTACAATACACAAAGTGAAAGATAGTCTGTTTACTAACCACCAGGTAGCCAGTACGCAGGAACAGAACCACACCAAAGATGTTGATCATGCAGGTGGTGAAGACTCCATCCCAGGTGCCAAAAAGCACCGGCTCCCACACAAATACTTTGATCCTCCACCATGGCTGATTAGACTGCTGAAAACCCTAAACACAGAAATACAACCGTAGCAGCACTGGCTTATCTGAAGTCACTTTAACAACAGCCTGCAATGATCCTACAAATTGTTTCATTTGAGCTGACACACTGAACATCTTGCCTTTGCATCTTCATGGAACAGATCTTGAATATGTGTGTTTTCTTTAGTATCATCAGATTCTCCCTTCAACAGGCCTGTCTCAGCTCTTTCCTGCTCACAGGTGTACACCGTCCAACCGGCTGGCAGGGTTTCCATTGCAGCCTGGAGAGTTACAGTGTTTATATTTACAGGCTGGATGTAAAACAACAAAATAAAATCTGCATTTTAATATTGAAAAACTTTTTTGATCACATACTACTAGATTCAGTAGTATGTGACATATAGTGTACCAAAATAATGGTCTTAGTGAGTTACTGGATGCTAGAGGTACAGTGCTTAACAAATGTATTACATCACCACCCAATGTAAGGTCTGTGCCCTAAAATAACAATATTGGTAAGAACCAAAAATCAGTTTCAATAATGGTTAACCCATCCGCATTTTTAAAGCTAAAATATCATTATAATGTTATCTATGAGTTTTGAAATTTACAAATTTTCCAACTTACAGTTAATTCCCGGCACTCCTGAATAATAAAAAAAAAGTTTTAGAGGTTTAAAGTCCAGGATTTCACATCTGGGGGAAAAAAAGTCAATACAGTTTGTTTTAAATAACAATATATTTTTAAATTTAAACACGTTTGTGACAGATTTGTCAAATATTCTAATTTATATTTTAGAACATTTCTGTCTTAAACGTGTATTTTATAAGAAGTAATCCCCCGAGAAGACAAAAAACCCACCTCAAAACAGAAAATACCCCCAAACATATTTTACATAATACTATCATGTATATGATTTTTCCTCGGCAAATATCGTAAAGTGTAGACTTAAAACTAGAATAAGGAATAAGAGGATAAAACATGTATAATATCCCAATTAAAACATCCGATAAAACTGGATTTCCTTCTTACTTACTAGTCTAATACATTTCCGTTCAGAAACTACTGAGAAATTGAAATATCACAGCATGTTACTGGGTAATTCTGGCATGCCGCATTCAAAACACTCATAATTGTGAAGATATATAATCTATGATTGGAGCATACGGTTTTTCCTGGTATAGTAAACAGTACGGTAGCACAGGCATTTGTAGCGGTCGTCTTGGAAAGAATAGCACTGTTTATCCTGGTTAAACAGCAACAGGTGCAGCTTGAGGACACCCGGATGCAGCAGGGTGTGCTCCTCTGCGATGCGACAAACAGTAAATAGTTGTTAGCGTCACTGCTTTTACCTCAGAGGCTTCTGTTTCCAGATAAATAAACGAAGAATTATAACAAACATGTGAATTCATTGTTTCCTAGTTAGAAAACAAAATGTTGAAATGAATGATAACAATAATAATAGTTATGTTTATGGAAAGACAGCATATCAGAAAGTGTAATCAATTTCAAAATAAGCTCCTGGTGATATACGCTATTATGAAAACCGAGATGTGCTCTAGTCTTAAAATTGGCAGTTTTCTCAATAGAGTTTGGTGTGAGCGGCGGTCTTCTTTCAAACAGCTTCTTAGCTAGATTAACTCAGCGACACCTTACCTTTCACAATCTCATTTCATCCACTGCTTGTAATTTTTTTTTTTTAAAATTAAAGAAAAAATAAATCCATTCCACTTCCCCACTTTTCTTTAAATCCTCTCAGTATTACAACGTGTTCGTCATGTGGATACGTCAGCTGCCAGCAGGCAACTTAGGCATGCGGTTACTGCTCACCTTTCCGGGATGTGTTGGAGCATTTGCACAAGGATCTCGTGTTTGCTTTGGCAAGTCCTGCAGCAGGTAATGCTAGTAATGATTAGCTGAAAAATGCATCCACATGGATTTGATCCTTTTTATGGAGTTATTTCCTGAAACACGTTTGAATTTCAGACTGTGAGGATGTTTTCTGAGTCTTATTCCAGTCAATAAGTTACCAATCAGATCAGAAAACACATCAGTCTAAACACATATTCAAAAATAAATAAGAGAAAACAAAACTTGGAAGAGTTTCCCTGTACAATGACACAATGAAAATATTTTACATTTTCATGGTTTAAGATGATTATGCCAAGCATTGGTATGGCCATCTTTCATCACAGTCTGAACTCTCTTAGGCAAACTTTGTTGTCATTTCTTTTAATAACCTTCAGGAATAGTTCTCTGGGATTCTTAAAGGACATTAAACGCTCTTTTTGAATGTTGGCTGGCTCTCTGTGATCTGGGGAGGCCAGTCCGATTTGTCATCCAAGTATTCTTTTACTGCATGAAGACTGTGTTTTGGATCATTGCCATGGGGAGAAATAAAGTCATTACCAATCAGCTGTTTCCCATTAAAGATCAAAGTCCCCAACACTACTGGCTGAAATCCTGCCAGGGCAGAGACTCCATTGCATCTCACAGATGGCTATATACACTGTTTTACCTTTCTCCTGGCCCTCTCTACACATACTGACGATGATTTGAACCAAAAATTGAATATCTGGGTTCATCACTACATCACCCTTTCCCTCCAGTTTCCTCTTCCTTAAAAAATGGCTTCCTGACAGCCACCCTTCCACCGAGACAATTTCTAATGAGGCCTCAGTGAACAACTGAAATTCAGCTGAAGGACCAGATGAATCTCTCAGATCTTTTCTGGATCCCATATTTTAAGGAATAACATTCTTGCTGTTTTTTATGCCAGTCTGTGTTAGCTTTGGGATTTTTAGTAGATTTGGCTAAAGAAATGTTTTTGGAACAGACTGCTAATATTAAAGTGCCTAAAGATACAATTTAAACACACTTCTTTGCTCAGTTTTCTGTTATATGTTGACACAACACTGGTTCATCCTTTGAGTTAGGTGCCTTTTTATGCTTAAATAGAGTATAAAAGTAGCTATGTCCAGAGAACTTTCAGAAAGTCTGGAGAACACCCGCTAAACACCACTTTGAAAATTACAAGAAAGACAGGCTAAATGGAAGCAAAATATAACAAAATGAGGGGTAGCTGAAGGTTTTCCCACAGGACTGTATGGTAGCAGGAAAGCACAGGTGTATTTGATAGCTGCATTTCACGTGGGGGGAGGTCCTGTTGTTGTGCATGCTGGTTGACCTTCATGGTTTACTGGGCTGTGATAAAGGCTTACAGTGCTTGGACAAACGGTTTGTCAGAAAATTAAGACAGAACTATTCTGATATACGTTTTTCCACATATTTTTCCATGATAAACATCAATAGTTCTTTTTCCAACGCTCTCCAATGTGAGAATTCTATGCTTTGCACTTTTATATCACTGTAAACTGAATATATCTTCAGGTTTTGGACCTGCTGAAAAAGATGTCACCGTGTACCACGATATGGTGAAAGATTTTCAATTTGTTACTGTACGAGTGTGTACCTATGAAAACAGTCTTCTGCAGCACTTCTACTCTCCTCGAATTCCCCTAACACACCATAACAAATATCCCAGCGTCTCTTTATGTCTTTTCTGGCTGCTTTCCATCAGGAAACACATTTACCCACCCACACTCGGTTTCACCAGCAGCTGCACGCCTTCTGTACATCAACAACAATTCAAGATCACATGCTGTGAATTATTTATTTATAAGGACATGACACACAACAATCAAAAACAATTTAATCAGATTGCTTACAAATCATTGTATATTGCAAAAGTCTAATCATATGGGTTACTTGACTGAAAATAATCAGCTACAATTAAAGCTGCACATTATCCATAAAACAAGTTCACTTGAGCCAACAAGTCAGAGACCATGCAGAATAAACCTAACGTAAGACCAACCTTACTGTGAAGCAAATTCTTTAAAATCAAGAAAAAATTCAGATTCCCATCTGTATTTGAAAAACCTTGACACAAACGACTTATACAGAGATAAATGAGGGTAGCGAGAATGACTGCATATGATATACTGTACATATCAGTGCTTTAAATGACGTTTCAAAAATAGCTTTTTATCAAAAAATTCTGATCTTTTTACACACACACACACACACACACACACACACACGCACACAAATGAGATTTCTCTAGCTTATACAAGGACACTTATGGTCAGGTTACTGACAATAGTTAATTAAAAGGAAATATTCATCGTACTGCTCACATACTTCATTAATTTCCAATAGGTTTCCACTTTAACTGAATTCAAAATTCAAAGAACTAAATGGGGTACAATTTACAAAACCATCATTTCTATCTGCACTGTGCTTTTAAAGATTGCTTACAATAAAAAAAAGGGCAGCTAGTGAGGTATTTCAACCACACTATAACTTTTAAGTGATATTTTAACACAAATTCAAGACTCTAATAGCTGTTGAATGGAGGATTGTTTCCACCACTAAGAACATTTTTCTTTTACTTTAAATATGTTGAAAAGGAATTTTATTTTAATATATTATATGGATGATAGTTATACAGTAAAACCCATCATAATGAACATTCACAAAAATCTAAATTCACTTTGATCAATCACCAATTAAACTGAAAATATAATATTGATACAGTGGTGAGATTTCTGCAAAAGCCACATTTTCTCAGGAAGATGGACCGTTTCATTATTGAATCTCATAAATGCTTAAAAACAAATTAACTTGCCAAATTCACTGACAAAAGTGTTTCTTGCACACGCCTTGTCTTTCTATGGACCAAAATAAAACCTAACAGTACTTCTCAGAGCATAAAAATATACAATGTATTTACAGCAGGATATCTTCTATACATTCTAGAGGGAATGATCATTGAGGAAGAATAAAGTATTCGATGATTAACGTGGTTCTGTGTGTCCCTGATTGTCAGAGGAGCTGTAACAAGAGGGAGCTCAACATTGGTTTCAAACCTAAACTGGATGGTGCACGAAAAACAACAAGATAAAAACATCGTTTAACACAATAGCACCTAAGACGTGAACGACAATCAACAGTGTAATGAAGTACAGAAAAGACTTAACTCATTGCCACTCCCGTTTAAAACTGCATGGTTTCAACAAGGCCCGTACAGATGAGTCTGACCAGAAAATTCCAGCAAATCAGTGATTATCAGCAAATCTAGACATCTACAACTTAAATCTGCACTTACACACATACTGGAGAAGAGTCCATGACACGTTAACTCCTCCCAACTACAGATAATATGTTGATTATTAAGTTTGGTGATATGTCTCTGCTAAAATTTTAAAAATAATACAATATTAAAAGGCAAAACTAAATAAAGCTCCCAGTTCTTAACGTATGAAGGTGTGAACACGTTGATAGCTTATGTGCTTGTCTGTATTGTGCAAGTGGAACTAGTAGCCTTAGAGCGTAGACCAAGTAGAAATAAATGCATTGTGCAGGAATGACTAAAGGAAATTGTAATATTTCTTTTAAAAGAAGGCACAAAATAATAAACTGCTCATTTTAATCAAATTCTCTTGAATACAAGGGATCATGAACTTTAATTTTGTTTCCCTTATAAGAGCTACGTCCTTTTAAGTGATCAAAGAAAAAGTGAATTTGTTTGAATTTCTACTTAAACTAATTAAGTGGTTAGTCTCACTAATCTCTTAACAAAAGGTGACTTATACATACTGTGATAATCTAATATAAATGTACACGTGAAAAACGTCCAAACTGTGTGAACACAAAGCACAACCCTGAATCTTTATGCATTTTAACAACAGAAGCTAAGAATGATCCTGCAACCATTAAATGTGTGCAGCTATTTGACGGCCAAAACTTTTTTGTTTGGGGGAGAGGGGGGCATGGAGGAAAAAAAACAAAACCCCAAAGCATTTCCCAAATAGTGCAGTCAGTCTATCCTGCACTAGTCATGATTGTAAAATCAGTGACCAGAAATCCAACCATTCCAAAAGGGAATACATTAATTCACATGATGTTAAATGTAATTTCATATACCTATTATTCAAATCTGCAAAATGGATAGTGAGCTCGATCCCAGGTAGCACAAACACAATCAGTCAAATCTATCCTGTACCGTTCATTACACACATCCTGCAGAAATACCCTTAATAGGTAACACAACTTTGTGTCACCGTGCATGTCAGCAGACAGTTTAACTGCTGGAATAAAGAAAAAAGCTCTAAGTGATATTTTTTGAAAAAAAACTTAACCAAGGGGCAGGGGGAGTTGGTTAAGGAAAAATAATAATAATAATAAAAAAAGAAAAAATCTACCACCGCCATGGGGGAAGGGGGCATGATTTTCAGGAGCAGGACCAACTTATATGGCCCCAATTCATTTCAGCTCAGTTGAATCACAGATTTTGATCTTAAAATGCAGAAAAAAATTAACGCGTTCATAAGGAAAAAGTATCAATAACAGTAGGTTTGTGCAGCTCTGGACCACCCAACCCCCAGTGCAGTTGAAAAACTCAGGGGGGGGAGTGTACATAGATGCAAACTACATTTTAATAAGTCTAAATATTGCATTAAGCAGCAAGTGTGACTTGATCATTAAGTGTGCAAGGCGAAATGATTGACACAAACATTAAAAATAATGGCAATGGAATTAGAGAATATTAATCTCCTGCATTACACTTTGGTCGCTTAATCTCATAATGTACATTCTGGAGGAAGTTTGACTTTTTTTCCAAAAGGGGAAATGCTAATTATAGTATGATTATCATTTTTCAGTATTCCTGTTTAAGAAGTTTAGAACGTAAAAGCACAAAATTATAACTGCTTTACACAAAGAAAAAAAAAAGAAAGACCCCTCGTTTGCAGTGGGATTT